AAATAAACCGAGTAAAACAGAAAATTGAGGAAATAAGCTGCTGCAAACGATTACCGGTAGTCTCCGTCACCATGCGTAAAGCTCCCACGATGATTTCCCCTACCCATTCCACGAGAGTGGGAACCTCCTCTGCCATAGTTCATCCTTTCCTCGTTGAAACCTCCCCTGTACCCGCCATAATTCCCCCTTCCGCGATTAACAAGGGGTGGGTCTTTCCCGTGTGCAAAACGGCACTTGTCGCCGTAATTACAAGTTCCGGCTTGATAAAAAGCACACTGTCTGATTTCTGCAATAAATCGTTATTTGGGTGAACAGATCTACCAGTATATTAACAAATATAACCCAGTGCAAAAATATCTCATATTATCAGCTGCTGACTAAAAAAAATTGAAAATCTCTCAATGCCAATTCAACTCTCCGTTATAAAATCAAACTATTTCAAAAAATAGTAGGCCTCAAAGCTTAAAACAAATGATGGTTAAAAGTAGCCCTAACGCCACTAGCAGTTCCTGTCGAAAACCTCAATGTCAAATTGTTCGAATAGCTTTCTGAAAAATTACGTGGGCGGCCGTATCCTGAATGCGAGGCCTCCGAAGTCGAGGGGTTTTGCGGCGTATGATCTACACCCACTGTAGGAATTACACCAGCAGGAACAGGACCATTTAGCAATGGCTGATGGTTCTGTTGTTGCGGAACTTGAAGCACAAATTGTCCATTAGGAAGCATCGGTGGCATTGAAAGACTGAAAAGTTTGAAGTTCTTGATTCATGAAGAAAGAAAAAGTGTGAGATAACGCGCAAAAAGATTTGAAACCATACCCAGGAGGGAAGTTCGGGTGCCCGAGAGGCAACCGAAGCTGTGGAATATTAGCTTGAGAATTTAACTGGACATAATTAGAATTAGCAGTTATCGCAGCGTCAGGAGGAACTGGCAGAGGCGGTATGGCTTTGGCAGGTACAGCAGACGAAAGTTTGTTAGGGATGTTCACAGCTCCCGAATCAGCAGGTACAATACCCTTCTCCTTAAGCTGAGCCATAAGTTTCTGTAAAAATGAATCAATATAATAAATTGATAACAGCGCAGTAACCGTTCATTTCTCATTCCTGAACAAAAAACGATTTTTAACAATATCTCAAAAGTGGCTATATGACGAGCGGAATATTTGGTTTAGCAAAAAAACCGTCTTGAAACTTAAGAACTAATAAAATATTCTAGTGATACCACTCTAACGACCTGTTTTTTCCGTCCTCATTTCTATTCCAAAACAATTAGTTTGCATCAGTTTATACCCGTTACTTACCAATATTCTTTCAAAAAAATTGCATGAAGAAAATATCAAGTCGTGAAAGCAATTTTCGGACATGCAGAGAGAAGTAACGCTGATGGCGCAAAGAAAGAAAAAAAAATGAACAACTCAAAACTAGAAAACATTTATTCCCAACTCCTCTCATAAAAAAAAAAAGAGAGTAAGAAATAAACCTGTAAATCAATTGGAGGGCTGCTATACGAAGTCGTCAAAGAAGATTGCTGCGTATCCGGAGGCATTAAATGATCAGCAGTTTGCAAATTACCATCCGCCTGAAAATTATAAAAACAATCATTAGAATTATACCAAATGAACAGAGAGTCCAGCAATAACTTTTCAAAGGTATGTTCAACTGATACAGTTTCTTAACCAAGTACAAACTCAAAAAAAATTTCTGACCATACTGCAGCCTTCCAAGTAAACTCACTTGCATCATTTCCTCTTCTTCTCCTGTCATGTCCAGCGGGATAATAACAGGGGATTCAGTAGAATCAAGAATTTCTTCATCTGCGTCTGCTAACTCCACACTTCTGGAAATAATTCTTCATGTTCAAACCAAATCGTAAAAGCTCGATCGTAAACAATCTTAGGAAAGATGTAAAAGATTTAGGTGGCTTACACAGCGGGATCGTAAAAAGGTATCATTACTGTTCTCTGTCGCTCTTCTTCAATCTGCCTTGCAACGCTTTTTGAACCACGAGCTTCAAAGAACACCGCATCTTCCACAGGCAGCAATTTCCACTGAAAATTGTTCCTCGTTACAAGGCATCTCTAATAAAAAAAGAAAAAGCCAACATAATTCAGCAATGACTTCCTCTGACTTGCGACATTTCTAGAATTGCCTTAGGATATTTACATTTAAGATGACTGTATCGTAGAAAATAATATAAATTGAGACTGTCAACAACTCAAACAAATTCTCTCTGAACCATTACCTAAATATAACTAGTAGTAAAATAAAAAAAA